GGCACACGCCCACACACAAGCACACACCCAGATACATGCGCGCCTGTAAGGCGAGGGGCTTGGGAGCACTTAAAATAGTGGTTGGTCAGCCAGCCAGGGACATAGATTGTTTTTCCAGGGATTTCCTGGGGAGATGGACCCCAAGGCCTGGAAGTCAAAATGAAGCCAATACTCCTTTTTTTTTTTTTTTGAAACAGAGTCTCTCATTCTGTTACCCAGGCTGGTATGCAGTGGCACAATCTCAGCTCACTATAGCCACTGCCTCCTGGGTACAAGTGATTCTTGCGTCTCAGCCTCCCAAGTAGCTGCACACCACCATGCCCAGCTAACTTTTGTATTTTTAGTAGAGACAGGGTTTCCCCATGTTGGCCAGGCTAGTCTTGAACTCCTGACCTCAGGTGATCCGCCCGCCTCGGCCGCTCAAAGTGCTGGGATTACAGGCATAAGCCACCACGCCCGACGGAGGCCAACACTCTCGAGTCAACAACCAGGCCCCAGGAGAAGCCCATGCCATGGCTGTGGTCACTCACAGCGTCATTTATCTTCTCCCCAGCCCCTGTACCGTATATGAGGAGAGAAAGCCCAAAAGAGACCCATACTGAGAGGGAGAGATACAGAGACAGAGAAGCAGAGCAGGGGAGAGAGAGAGGGAGAGACCAGCACCCAGGCCCTTACCTATACAGGGGCTGTGAGTCCCCTGCCCCATAGTGACCTCCAGCCTAGACCTGGCCAGTGATGAGGTGGGACGGGGCCCCGTGGGTCTTGGCCAGCCCAGCCTCACTCCCTCCCTGTGGCAGAGGAAGATGGCAGGGCTGCCGACCACAGCTCTGGCTTGGCGAGCCTTTCCAGCGGTTTCCTGATGCGCACCAGCAGTCAGGGTGGGAAGTGAGAGGGCCCTGAGAGGTCTCTGTGCCTGGGGAGGGGCCTCACCACGTGGGCTGGTGGCCCTGGGTCTGCACCTACAGGATGGGAAGCCTGACTTCCCAGTGGCGACCAGCCGCTTGTGGCCTCCTCCCTTCCATGCCACGCCCCTGCCACTTCTGTCCTGGCAAGAGATGGGGTGCAGTGGGGTGGGCTGCTGAGTCTGTGGTTCTTGGATTGGGCTGGCCCTGGACAGCATGAGGACCCTTCCTGCAGCCCCTTTAGGGAACAGGACCTCAAATGTCAAGGGATTTGCAGTCCTGCCTAGGGCAGAGCTGTCTCTGCAGAAGCTGGTAACACAGAGAGAATCTCCCTGGGAACCTGCCCCTGTCTCTTATACACATCTAGATGTGTATAAGAGACAGGCCTAGACCTGGCCAGTGATGAGGTGGGACGGGGCCCCGTGGGTCTTGGCCAGCCCAGCCTCACTCCCTCCCTGTGGCAGAGGAAGATGGCAGGGCTGTCGACCACAGCTCTGGCTTGGCGAGCCTTTCCAGCGGTTTCCTGATGCGCACCAGCAGTCAGGGTGGGAAGTGAGAGGGCCCTGAGAGGTCTCTGTGCCTGGGGAGGGGCCTCACCATGTGGGCTGGTGGCCCTGGGTCTGCACCTACAGGATGGGAAGCCTGACTTCCCAGTGGCGACCAGCCGCTTGTGGCCTCCTCCCTTCCATGCCACGCCCCTGCCACTTCTGTCCTGGCAAGAGATGGGGTGCAGTGGGGTGGGCTGCTGAGTCTGTGGTTCTTGGATTGGGCTGGCCCTGGACAGCATGAGGACCCTTCCTGCAGCCCCTTTAGGGAACAGGACCTCAAATGTCAAGGGATTTGCAGTCCTGCCTAGGGCAGAGCTGTCTCTGCAGAAGCTGGTAACACAGAGAGAATCTCCCTGGGAACCTGCCCTGAGTCCTGAGCAGCAGGGTGGCCACAGACTCCCCACCAAAGCGAGGCTTGAGCCAACCGGGACCCAGAACAGGGGGAAGGTGTTGGCTGAGTCCATATGTTGGGTGCATTAGGAGTGAGTCCTGCCTCTCGGGAAGTGGCCTGAGCCCCATCAGCTGGTCCCTGGGCTCAGCGGGGGATGCACTCAGGAGCACGTACTCCTGGCTGCACCAGTGGAGTGCTGTGGCCCAGGTACTCCAGCTTTGAGGACAAAAGTCCGGGTCCCAGGTGGGAGGGCACGGCCTGCCCTGGGTGAGTGCCAGCCCTCAGCCCACAGGCACTGTGTGCAATGTGCTGTGACATCAGCAGGCCTCAATGGAGAAGTGGACCCATGGGCTGGGGACGGGACTGGGATGCTGCCAGCCCCATGTGGCCGGCTGTGCTCCCGCTAATTCATCATTTGTATTTTGAGCGTTCCCCCGCCACCAGTGTTTTCCTCGGGCGCCAGCCTCTAGCCTAGTTATGCTTCTCGGATCCACGTCCTCTCTGGACCACAGGCCCATCTACAGTTCCGAGTGGACAGGACTCACGGCCAACCCCGGGCAGAGAAGGGACCTGGCCATTCACTCACACTCACTTGGTGACTGGAGCAACCACGAGCTTGGGAGCGTTTCTGCCGCTGCCGTCTCTGAAATAAGACAGCCTTCGAGTGAATCTCCCACTGCCCTGGATGGAGCCAGAAGGGCTCCAGGGGCAGGCACGGCTGTGTGTGATAGGGGGACCCCAGGAGCACCCCCCTCTGCCCTGGCTGACCGCCCACCCTGCACCCCAATCTGTCTTACCCAGCACCTCTGGAAACCCTTAGTCGGGAACCCCAGCTTGGTAGAGGATGTCAGCGAGGAAACTGAGAGTAAGTGGAAGCGAAAGGAGATTTGAGGTCCTCTCCCTGTCTCTGCTGTGCTCTGGGGACCAACTTTCCCTGGAAGCCACACACAGAGGCCGGGGCACGTGGACAACACGCTTCCCCGTTGATTGGTGCTGACGTTGAACTTTTCAAAAGAATCCCAGCACCAGGCCTGAGATGGCCAGGAACCCGGGAGAGTGCATGCCGAGCATCTGAGGGTCAGGCACTGGGGTCACCGGGACCTGTGCACACAGGAGTGGATGCTCTTGGCCCCAACCTCCTGAGGGTCTGGACACTGGCAGCTGAGGACAGAGGCTGGGCCGGGGCGCTCCTGTGCCCTGGCAGGCTCCTCAGATGTCTCTCCCCATCCTTCACATCCCTGCCTCTTTCCGCCTTGCCCAGGCTCCACCTGCCTGTCTCTGGTCCACGTCCTCCCTTTGAGAATTAGGTCCATTTCATTTTGCTCTGGCACGAATGATAAAGTCCCCAAAAAGCAAAAAGTCTCAGAACTGAGGCCCCTCAGCTCACAGCCTCTTTCCAAACTAGCCCCTAAGGTGTCCCACAGAGCTTGGCCCGAGTGTACCTGCTCAGAGACTTGTCACTCAGAGGACGAGGCTGCCACAGCAGCTCCCATGGGCCCTATGGGGGGTGTGGTTTCAGGGCCGATGGGATGCAGATGCACAGGCGGACTCCACAGCACCCTTGTGCACCCCTGAGCTAAGCAGCTGCCTCCTGAAACCTCTGTTTCCTTGTGGACTCTCAGGCCAGGTGGGCCCTTGGTCATTGAGGATGCCCGGGGAACGCCTGCACTGTTCACAAAGCACCTGACTCTCTGGTCAGAAGAGGGCAGCTCCCGACCTCAGGTGGGCGGCTCCTCCCCTCTGCCAGGTCCTAGAGTTCACCATGGAGCAGTCAGGAGAACTCCAGAGAATAAGAGGCCCATGGTGCCCAGAGTCAGCTTCTACTGTTTTCACTTGGACAGGTCACTGTCTCATCCTGACTTCCCTGGGTCCTTCTGACTTCCTTATCCATCACCTCTGCCCACCCAGACACATCTGCTCAGGGATGCACCTGCCCACCAGGACACACCTACCCAAGGACACAGCTGCCCACCTGGACATACCTGTCCAGCAGGACGCACCTGCCCAAGGACACAGCGGCCCACCCACATACACCTATCCAGCAGGATACACCTGCCCAAGGACACAGCTGCCCACCCACATACACCTATCCAGCAGGATACCCACCTGGACATACCTGTCCAGCAGGACGCACCTGCCCAAGGACACAGCGGCCCACCCACATACACCTATCCAGCAGGATACACCTGCCCAAGGGCACTCCTGCCCACAGAGACACAGCCTTTCTACTTTTGGGACCTGAGTGTGGTGTGTCCCCAGCCCCTGCCCCCTGTCCTCCCTCCTGCCCTGTCTGGGCTGGGCTGCCCAAGAAGCTTGCCCAACATGCCGCTGGTTTGAAGAACCCAGAGAAGCCACTGGCCAGAGTGGGGGAGACTGGGAGGCCTGCAGCCACCACCCGTGGTCAGGCTGGTCGAGGTGACACCATCTCTCCACAGTGGACAGCAGGTCAGGTCTCCTCATCAGTGGTCCTCAGAGGAGTAGGGGTAACAGCAAATAAGCAAAGCCCTAGGGGTGGCCACTCTGCCCGTTCAGAGGCAACAGCAACAACAAAATAAAGCCAAGTTGGTGTGCGTGGGACTTTGCGGGCGTGGTGAGAACAGCTAGGCGTCTTCACGCTGCTGGGTGTCAAACTGAAACTCTCCAGCTTTAAGGAAACCAGATGCTTTTCTTATTGTCAGAGTGGTGTGCAGGCTGCCCTGAGCGTGCACACACACACGCACATGCACGCCCAGCAACACCTTCGCCTTCAGACGCGCTTTTCTCTAGCCCAGCGCCCCAGCTCCTCAGCAGAGGGCTCTGCTCCCAGATGCAGTGGTCTCTGCCTTCTCACACGTGGGACAGCTTTGCTGCGGGGGTGGGGGTTGCGACTCTGGAGGCTCATTTTATCGCCGGGCCAGGGCAGTGATCTGTTCGGTGAGAAAAGAAAAGGCCATTCCCTGCCTTTCCGCTGGGCTCCTGGAGACTCCTGGAGACTCCCAGGCTTGGGCAGTCTGGGTGGGCTGGGAGCCCCGCTGATGCCCGGAGGGTGGGCTGAGGTCTGGACGCCGACTTGCCTTCCTCCTTGAGCCCAAACAGCCAGGTTTCCGGGTGGCCAGAGGCAGTGTGCAGACTCCAGCACACAGGGCACCTCTGACTCCTGCTTCACTTTCCTCCCAGCAGATCTCCGAAGACTTGGGCAGCGAGAAGTTCTGTGTGGATGCGAATCAGGCCGGGGCCGGCAGCTGGCTCAAGTACATCCGTGTGGCGTGCTCCTGCGATGATCAGAACCTCACCATGTGTCAGATCAGTGAGCAGGTAGGTCCGGGCTCATAACAGGGACTTCCGCCCCTTGGAATTGTCCCTGAGGACGCGGCACCAAGATTGGCGGAGGTGCCGAGGCAAGGGTTGTCTGAGCCTCTCTGGGGACATCTGCCAAGCCCTGGCCTGCGGTGGGGGCACTGTTTGGTGCTCGGCCAGCGCTGGCTTCTGGGGAGCTGACTCACCCCGAGAGGGCTCCATCGGAGCCTTGCTCAGGGCCCCTGCCCAAGGCTGGCAGCTCCTGAACCCCAGGATGGTGGTTCGGGTGGAAAAGAGCAATGAAGCAGGCAGGACCCCAGATCACACGGTCCACACTTCCTGCAAATGCCGCTTCCCCGAAGGACATGGGAGAAGCATAGAGCAGGAATCGTCACTGCAAGAACCCATCTAAATGGCGCTGTTTAACCAAATTTTCCGAAGAGTCAGCACCGGCCAATGAGGCAGCCACTCAGGGGCCTCCTCGAGCCTCCAGGGCCTCTGACCAGCCTGCTGAAGGCCTTGGCCTTTTTGGCACAAAGTCCCTGTCCTGCGGGCAGTGAACCAGGCAAGAGACACCTTCGCTTCCGTCCCTGCCACCTCAAGACTGAGGCCCCCACTAAGCTCCCTGGACCCTCGACCTCCACGGCTGGTCCACACCACCACCGGCACAGGCGTCCAGACCCACAGGCTGATCGGGGAGAAGATGCGGAGTCTCTTTCCACTCCAGAAGGCACCGTGTCCCCAGAGTTGGTCGCTGCTTCATGAATTTCTCTATTCCAAGCTTGCCAGTGGCCCCTGGAGGCTCTTCTCACTCTCAAGCCAGGTCTCCCGGGCGGCATTTTCCACCCTGCGTGCTCAACACCATGCGTTCCTCAGGGTGCCCGGGGTCCCCGGCCCCTTCCATCACAGCAGTCTGGTTTTTCCTGTAATATCTTGGGGTCATACATGAGATTTCATTTGCAAAAAAAAAAGGGATCCTATGGCTGTGAAAAATGTATGTGAAGACCACGTCACGGAACATTCCCGGGTAGCCTGTGCAAGCCATTGAAAGTGGTTCAAGGCTCTCGACTTGAGAGAAACAATTTTGCATTAAGAAATGCAGAGAGCAAACTCCAGGGAGGTCCCGCAGGCCCCGGCTGGCTGCCAGGGGCTCTCCCTCATTTGCTGTCCCCTTGGCTGTGGAGCAGAGTCTCCACCGAGCAGTTGCTCTGCTGGACAAGCTCGTTCTGGATGGGGACATGAATCTGCTGTACTACCAGGACTTCCATGGCCTTCAGTTAGAGCCAAAACTGTTTAAAATAACTTTTTATGATTGAAAAAAAAACACAGAGAGGAAGCAAAAGAATAATCATAAACATAAGAACAGAACTTAAAAAAATATTTTCCTTATTCCACATGAAAGTGAAATTGGAGTGAAGGAAAATTGGGCTTGAGGTGCGTAGAAGGACGCGTCTTTCCATCCTTTTCTGGGGCTCAGATTTGCAGAGAGTGTGTGTCCTTGGTCGTCTGTTGGGAAGCCGAGGGGCAGGGGCACCACAGTGCTGGGGCAGGGCTGTGCTTTTGTGAGATGCAAACTACAGTAATGAAGGACCCAGAGTTTTTTATTTAAGAAATAAATGTTTATTAGAACATTGGAACTAAACTTAAGCAGTAAAGTGGGTATCTTTATGTGTCTAGCTTTTTAAAAAACAAACAGATGTGTAATCTTCTCAAAGAGAAGCCTGTCTTTGAAAAAAATCTTCATTGTATTATTAATATTTCAGGGAAGCTTTCCTTTTAGCTACACACGAGGTCCAAAAGGAAGGGACTGCTTTGTAGCCAACTGCGTTTCCGTGGTCAGGACCGGGGGCAGAAATCCTTTTTGCCAGGATGGAAGAATGATCCTGAATCCTGATCCGTTCCTTCCCTTTACCCCGCCGTTATCCCACAGTGCGGACTCCCTCCAAAGCTCCGTCCTAGAGTCAGAAACGTACTTGGCTCTATTACCCAAACCACAGATAATGTCAAAACTACTGGGATACCTCCTGACCTGCTAGACGGCTCTCTCCAACACCGCCTCAAGGGATTCATTCTCTCTGCTTTCGGTCTGGTCCGTAGGCTGAATTAAAGCCACAAACCCAGAGGGAACTTGAAATGCACATTTAAGCAAATGCAACGCCAAACTGGCCCAAAGCAGAGAGAAATTCCTCCGCTCAGGGCACTTCTGACCCCCTCAACCGCACTGTGTGACCCTTCCCCTCCAAGAGGGAGAGGAGCCGTCTGCTCTGAGAACACCCTCATAGGTAGCACAGCGGGTGACATCGGGTGTTACAGGGCCACCAGCGCTCCTGCCCATGTCCCCGCAAAGGTGCGCCTCTGAGCTGGATAAGCCACGTGGCTGGAATGCCCGGGAAACGCCCGGGAAAGCAGGAGCCGGCCGGAGGCTGGAGGAGACTCGCTGCCCAGGCACGGGGAGTGAGGTGGCTGAGTTGGCAGCTTCTCCTCCTGAAATCTCAACCGTGAATTTCAGTTATCAAAGGAAAATGAGCATTGTGTGGGACGTATTTTCCTTCGAATAATAATAACATTTAAACACTAAAAATATGAAAAACTGCTTTCAGAAACCCATAGACTCTCGTATGAAATGACTTTTAGCAATGCCTTGTTGAAAGGGATATCATAGATTTCAATCTAGTGTTTTAATGCTCTCTCGTGTGCGCTGTGATGGCCACATGGCTGCAGTGGAAAGCATTTCCATTCCCTGGCCTTGACCACGGAAACATGGGTTCCTGCAAAGCAACCTATTTGACTGTATGCGGATCTCAAATAAAAACGGCCCTGAAATATTAATAAAACCAAGATTTTTAAAAAGTTTTTAACAGCTTCTCTTTGAGAAAGAAACATTACATGACACTAACGCCATTTCTCAGATTTCCACCAGGCCAGAAGTTCCACCGGGATTTTCTGGCTGTTATGGACACCACACTCCCCCTACACAAACACACACAAGTGAACAATCCTCCTCCCTTCCTCTCTCTCTCCCTCTCTCTTTCTCTGTCTCTCTTTTGCAAGATTGCACACACACCCTACCTCTAATACAGCATAGACACAGAAGGGAAGGAACCGTATCTGAACATCTGAGGTCCGTAAAACAACGTCGAATTTGCCAAATGGCATTCAGCAGGGAAAATACTTCGGTCAGAAAAGCATCACCGTCATTTTGAGGTTCGAGACATGTGACCTCAGCCCCCATTCTCAGAGGAAAAAGGAGACTGGGGCAGAAGATGGTCCAAACATCCTAAAAAGAAAGTTCTGGAAACCACAGCCTCCCAGAAGAGATGAGCTCTCCTGCTGGGCAGAGGAGAGAGGTCGCTCTGAACTGAAAACTCAGGTCGATATTCAGATGGGGGCCCAGGCTGGGGCTTTCCTCCTGAGTCTCCTGCTAGTGGCAGCCAGGACTTAAGCAAACACTGGGGCCTGGGCTCCAGGGTGCTCCTATGTCCTTGGGGTGAGACCCACACTTCAGGGGCACTTTGGAGGCAGGGGAGTCACATACCTCCTCTGGCCCATCCCGGGCTCCTCCTGGCCTTCGCTGGATGCGGGCTGCTGTGCATCTGGGGGCGGCGCCACCCCCACATCCCTCATGGTTCTGTGCAGTGTACTGGCACTCTAGTTGATGCTTTCAGGCGCTCCAGGGCACCTGCTGAGCTGGGTGATGCAGCACCCACAGGCCCGGTTCTGTCTGTCTGGCCAGGACCCATTCTGGCTGCTCAGAAGCCTGCTCAGATCACTGACCACGTGTCCCTCTCCCTAGCATCACCTAACATGCCCCAAGACACCTGCCCTGTACAAAAGAGGACTGGCTATGTGCTCCTCCACAGCCACTGGGGAGAGGCAAGGGACAGGGGCTTGAGAACATGTGAGCCCCAGAGCTTGGAAAGCCTCAGCAACCGGCCAGCACCTCCCCAGAGGCTCCCCGCTGCCCTGCCGCCCCACGGTGCCTCATGAACAGAGGCAGGATCGGCTGAGCTGAGGGCGGCATGGAGGCCGGATACCCTCCTTCCCAGGCGGGGCTGGCCCAGCATCCTGTCCCTCGCCATCTCAGGCCCTGTGGGCACTGGACCGTCCTCTCCATGAACATGAGCTATCCCCATGGTGTGGGGCTGAGGGGGCTGCTTGTGGGCCCCACCTCCACGTTCTCATCTAGCAGTAAGATCCCCCCTCCTGGCCCCAGGGGACGTCTTGAGAGGTGACGGGGCCCATCCCCAGCCTTTGCTTCTCTAAGGCCCATCCCAGCCCTCCTCATGGCTCATGGGAGAGCTGAGCAGAGGCAGAGGCCACATTGGGTCATGAATTTGCTCCTGGGCCTGGCCGTGTCGCCCAAAAGGGGACTTGTGGTTTTCTATTTGCACAAAGAGGCCCCAGATCACAGCCAAGGGCACGCTGGCCCCTTCCGAGGCCAAGGGTGCCGCTGCTCCTGAAGCAGCACAGGCTTTCTGGGGAGCTGCGGGGAGCAAAACAGCCACGCACACAGCTTGGGGGACCGAGCCTTTGCCCTGGGACTTTCAGGGCAATCGGATTGCAAGGGAGGTAGGGCCTTGAGGTGTCAGAAGTCGTCGTGGGAGACTTTAACTTGCTGCCTCATCTGAGCATGAGCGTAAGAGGGACCCTCGGGATCTCCGTGCACTTTTTCGGGGATGCGCCCCCCACCATCCTCCGGCTCCTGCTTTCCTTTTTGGAAAATTCAAGACACTCAGATCACCCCTGGGTGGTTCTTTCTCCTGTAAATATGAACAAATGAACTGGTTTGAGATGTTTCAGGAGGCACAGACAGGGGCAGTTCCTGCATTTGTTTTAACTTTAAGAAAGAAAACCAGAGCTTGGCGATGAAGCGCCCACAGGGGGACGCGTGAGGCAGGGAAGGGACTCTCACGGCCGGCGCTGTTTGTTTTTTGGTTTTTCTTTTTCTCACGTTGCCTCGATAGGGCAAGAATGTTGGTGGTGGGATGTCAACTGGCTAGCGGGGTGAGGATGGCGGG